TTCGCACAAAGCCACTTAGTCACTCCCTCCCTGACATTTGTTAAGTTCTCCCCAGCTTGACGTCTTAGCCCTTTGTCATAAATCCCAGGAAGGAGGAGACCATGTCCATATTTACTCCTCTCGGCTTCTCGGCGCCTGGCCCGCCCCAAGCGCCCAGTAATGACACCAGCTGCCCTCTGCAGTGCTCCTAGTAAGCTGGCTTCTAGGCTAAGCACTTTACCCACGTGGTAAACTTTATTAAATTCTTGCAGCACTTCTATGAAGCAAGGATTGCCATGCCCATTTTGCAGATGAAAAGGCAGGTGCAGGAGGAGGGTAGCATCTGCAAGGGCACAGAGCTGCTGGGTGACAGGGCTGGGATGTGTGCGAAGATCTGTTTCGACTGGACCGTAATGCTCCGTCCCTGGACTACATCCCATTCAAAAGACGTGCTGGACTGAGTTTGATTTGTTTCACGATCGGGCATCAGCTTTGAGAGAATGTTGGCAGCAAAGGAACACAGGGGGCTGCCATGAAAAGGCGTTCCTCTGACAGTCAGGAGACTTGTACCTTGGTCTGAGCTTTGCCATTTTTCTCCCAGGGCCTCTGTTTTCCCATCTGTTCAGTGGGAGGGCTGGATTGGTCCTCAGTTACTGTAATGCTCTGAGTTCCCGTAAGAGGCTCTTTATCGAAGAATGAGAACTTCTCTTGGAGCACCTCGTATTTTCTTCCAAGGGGAAACTGTAGAGAGTCATTGCACTATTTGAGAAATGAGGTCTAGCTCGGGCTGACTTCCATGAGGTCACCTAACAGGTTATCAGACAAGAATATGGCAAGATCCCTCTACTGAAGGTGGGAGGGCTTCGCGGTGTGTCTGCCTCCGCGCTCCGCCCAGCACACCTAAGAGCTGTGGATGGGACTCTGTCATCAGCTTCCCAGGACCTCTGGGGGGAACACCCATCACTCAGCTCACGGCTGAATCCTTCCCCAGGAATTGCCCTTGGTCGAAGGGATCTGCCTCGCCCCAGGTCACATTCCCACTTCCAGGTTGCCTGTGCCGCACCACTGGCCTATGTGGGGACACAAAGCCAGGCCCCCTCAGCCCGTGGGGCCACCCAGAGCAGAGCTCCCAGAGGAGGGGGCTCAGCCAAGGCCTCTGCTGGGACTGCACCACAGTCCAGCTCCTGACTCTGCCCCATCCTGCTTCCTTCCTGCCCACGGAGTGGACGGGGCCACTGCCTGATGTACCTCCCGCACCCCACCTTTTCCTCAGAGCTTGTTTTCCCAGGAAACCTGAGCTGAGACAATGGCATCATGGTTGTTTGGCCTTTAGAGAAGAAATAGAGGGGCCAGGGAGTGGCGTGACTTGCCCCAAGTCCCAGCTTGTAAGTGCTCTATCCTCAGGGGGCTGGGCTGCTGGCTAGTCTGGGGGGAAATGGGGGTTGGGGGTCTGTCCCATGGCTGCCTGTCCTTCCATACACAGCCCGGTTCTCTCTCATGGTGCAGCAGCTCTGTCCTTGCTGGCGCTCATGCCGAATGTCCTTGACCATCTTCTTTCCGACTTTTTCCAACTGCTCTGCCTGCTGAAGCAACGTCAAGTTCCCGTGCGTGGGTGGTGATGTTAATCCACCCACCTCTGGCACGGCCTCAAATTTCTCCAAAGCGCCTCTACCTCCCTCGGCCTCCAGGAGGCTGATAGCGAGGGTCAGTGTTTGCTGTAATTATAACGGAGTATGGACAAGGGGACACCTCTGGCATTTCCTGAGCACCTGCCACATGACACACATCATGGCACGTGAGCTCCGCCAACATCCCTGGTGGCAGGAACTGTACGTTCATGTGACAGCTGAGACAGTGGTGGCTCAGACGGGTGAGGTGACTTTCCCAACCTAACTTCTTTTTTTTTTTTTTAAAGATTTTATTTATTTATTTGACAGAGAGAGACACAGCGAGAGAGGGAACACAAGCAGGGGGAGTGGGAGAGGGAGAAGCAGGCTCCCCGCGGAGCAGGGAGCCCGATGCGGGGCTCGATCCCAGGCCCCTGGGATCATGACCTGAGCCGAAGGCAGACACTTAACGACTGAGCCACCCAGGCGCCCCCCAACCTAACTTCTAAGAAGACCCAGATTTTCCTGAATCCCAAGCCTTACTTTTTAATCCGAGTTTGTGGTTAGGCAGGCTCAGCTGCGTGATTGTGCTGGGGGTGAGAAAGGGGCAGAATATGGGGACCTAGCTATACAGTGGATTGTTTGGGACACAGCGGGGGCCCCCTTGTCCCCTCCTTTTGCTGCCCCACTGTAACGAGGCCCCACTTCCTGGGCTCCTCCCAGGCTGCCCTCTGCTCTGGCCAGGAAGCAGGAACAAGGGGACAGGGCTAATCCCTGCTCAGCTCACTGATATTTTGGCTGAGACACAACCCCTGCAGTTGGGAATATTGGGTGACAGGGCAACCTGAGCAGAGGGGAAAATGTGGCACGTGGGCAATCTGAAGTTGAGAGGAGGAGGAAACCCAGAAATCAGCAAGAGAGTGTCCGACCTTGTGCAGGGGACACTAAGGTGTAATGGGACAGGAAATCGGCCTCGTGCCTTTCCAAACAAACTGGGTAAAAATACGTTGTTTTTATCAAAAAGTGACAAATACCAGAGAAGAAATGAGTGCCCACTTGTGGAGATATGCACCACTCCCGGGGACATCTGGCATGCCTCCCTTACTCTATCCCAGTCACATTCTGAGTCTGTCTACACCGGACTGGACCAGGGACCCGGAAGACTCATGTTTGCATAGTAGTTAGTCAGTGGCTCTCAAACGTCTCTGTCCATTAAAATCATTTTGGGGGCTGATACCCAGGCCCTACCCTGGACTCATTCAGCCTGAATCTGAGCGCTCGTATTTTGTTTACTCTCCACGCGTGAGTCTGCCATGCAGCCGAACTTTGAGAACTACCGGCTTCCTATCGGTTGATTTTCATAGAAACCTTCCAAGGATAGGTTTTCTTCTTCTCATTTTGAAACGTCTGTCCACCTCAAGCGCTGATGCTCTCATGGCCCTGCTTGCCTGTGGAGGCGGGTTTGGGGCACGTTGAGGACACTGGGGACACGGTGGCCAAGCAGCTGGAGAGGCCGCTTGGGCAGGCAGCGAGATGGGCACGGTCGTGGTGGGCATCAGGCAGTCCCAGAGCCCCTGCTCAGACCCGGCGGGCATCGTGCTGGCTGCAAGGGGACATGCCGAGGGATGCAAACTTGGCTTCTGCTCGAGGAGGTCATGGTTCACTTGCTTCAAATCCGAGCTCCTGGATTGCACCTGGGAATTGGCTAGAAGTATACATTGTTGGCCCCCAGCCCAGAGCTACTGAATCAGAATCCTGGGTCATGGGGTTCAGCAGTCTGTGGTTTGACAGCCCTCAGGGGGATTCTGATGCCTACTCCAGTCTGAGAGCTACTAGGCAAGGTTTCTGACGTGGGTCGTGGGAGACAAGTCTCCAGAGCGTCAGTTTCCTTATTCATCGGATGGGGCAGATTATCCAAATTCCATAGGATGAAATCAGAGCATGCAGAATTACCTAGAGAGCAGTAACTACAACAACAACACGTTTAGAATTTTTTTTTTTTTTTTTGTCACCAGACCCCTTGCCACATGCTTTTTCTAGATCATCTGAGTTAACCCTCCCACCAGGGCTACTCTCTGCCTCATTTTACAGGTGAGGAAATGAGATGCAGAGGCCCAAGGATGCTGCCTCAGGCAGTCCGGGTCCAGGGGCCCTGCACTGAGCCCCTACCTCCCACCACAGCGACACGCCTGGCTCCACTGGAGAAAGTTGAGACTGAGCCATAAGTAGGACCCACGAGAGGGTAAGGGCACTGAATCTCCCAGACTGCCAGCTCCCCTCTCCTGGGAAAACAGAGAAAGAGGGAACAGGATGCTCTGTTTCCAAAGACTTCTATCCAATACGGGACATTTTTATATGGAAGACTGGAGTCTTGGAACAAGACCAAGTGAGAGAGGGAAATGAGAGAAGCAGGTTGGAAGGGAGAGCTGAAGGTCTGGCACATCTCCATCGCTGGAAGAAAAACATAGAAGATTTAGGTAAAAGTGTATCAACGCTGTGCCCCAACAGGTATCAGAATGAACAAGTCAATGAAAGGCTCCTCAGAGGATGGGAACCACATCAGCAGAGGCAGCTGAGTCCTGAGGCGGAGCTGCATGTGGAGATAGACAGACGGGGGACGGGAGGGCTTGCCCTCTGCCCCTTGCCTCTGGGTGGACCCTGCACCAGTGCCCTGGCCTCTCTGAGCATCAGTGTGAAGCATTTTTCAGGTGTTATCTTACCGAATTCTCATAATTACTGGGACACACCGATAGCCTGGCTCAAGCATCACTGGGGTGTGGGCACGCACGCGTGTGTGTTCCAGTTGCCGCAGCCACCGGTGGCATTTGGGAGGGAGAATTAGAGGTAATTCGTTCTCACCACCCCATTTTCCATATGCGGAAAGGACTCGTAGAGAAGACACTTTGCACTGTCTCCATGAGCAGGACGAGAATGCACTGTTTGTGCTCTTTTTGCACTGGTTAAGGGCAAGAGAAAAGGAGCCTGATTGGTTCAGATCACATCCTACCATGTCCTAGCTGTGTGATCTTGAGCAAGTGACTGACCCTCTCTGTGCCTCACCTAGTTAACAGAGCATAGCAGCGCCTAAGGATTGTGGTGGCTGCCAGGTTAACCACTGCATTTACACACCCGACACAGATGCTGCAAATTCGTAGGTAAGTACAGAATGCATCTACCAACCCAAGCACATGAGGATGGCACATCACGGCCATGTGCTTGGAAAATAAAGTGGTCAGAAGCAGAGTCTTTGGAGTCAGACTGACACAGGTTCAAGGCCTCTGTCTGACCCCCACCCCTTTTCCTCACCTGTGGGCCTCCCTGATTTATAAGTGGTTGAAATGATTAAAATGCAAGCTGCCCGTCGAGCTCTGACAGACAATTAGCTGGTGCTTCTTGCTGCTGCTTGATTCTTCGCAGAGAACGGCATAGAAGGCGCTTGTCGTAGCCATTCTGAGGGACACACATGGATTTCCTGCAGGCAAGGGAGGGGATGGACAGCCCTGTCACCTTAGCATCATTTTTGTTCCTCTTGTGTGTGCATGTGTGTGTGTTGCTTTTTGCTTTGACATATATTTTAAAACCCACAAAACACGGCAATGATTGCTTTGTATGGGTCTTCATTCACTTCTCTTTGCCCTCGCCAGTGTCCTCACACCTCGGTTTCTCCCTGGGACAGCCTGCCTCTTGTCCAGAGAGAGTGGTCACTGTTTCGTGTTCCTTTCTGTTCTGGCTTGCCTGAAAAATGTCATTTTCATTTTTCAAAAGTGATTTCTGGGGCCCCTGTGGTGGCGCAGTTGGTTGAGCGTCCTACTCTTGGTTTCTGCTCAGGTTGTGATCTCAGGGTCTTGAGACGGGCTCCGTGCTCATCATGGAGTCTGCTCAAGATTCTCTCTCCCCCGCTCCTCCTCCTCTCTCTCTCTCTCAAATAAATAAATAAATAAATAATTCTGTGTAAAAAGCAACTTCTACTGCCTCTGTAGAATTCTATGTGGCATTTTCTTTTGCAATTTAAGGGTGTCATTCCATTCTTTCTGGCTTGCATCCTTTTTGCTGAAAGGTCAGCTGTCAGCCATACTGCTGTTCCTTTGAAAGAAATGATTGTCCTTCCTTCCTTCCTTCCTTCCTTCCTTCCATTCTTCCCTTTTCCCTCCCTTCCTCGTTCCCACCTTTCTTTCCCTCTTTCTTCCCTTCCCTCTTTCTTTAAACAATAAAGTGTCACGAATATACAGAAAAATGCATTCAGCATACATATACATGCGTATGAGTGGATGAATTCTTGCAAATTGAATGAACCTTCATGCAACCACAGCATCTGCAAACAGATAAAGAAGAAGATCATAGTCAGCTCACCCAGAAGCTTTCTTGTAATGTCACTTCCACTAACTACTCTCCAACAGTGGCTCAACTCCCACTTCTAATGCCACCGCCGTGGATTAGTTTTTTTTCTGTTTCTGGACTTTATATAGATGGAATCATGCATACTCATGCATGCTCTTGTCTCTGGCTTCCTTTTCAACGTGATGTTGGTGAGATTCATCCATGCTGTCACGTGTAGTCATAGAGGCTGTGTTCTCAGTGCTGTGTAGTATTGCATGGGGGGAAGATGCCACAATTAATTTACCTATTCATTCTACAGTGCTTGGGATCTAGGTGAGTCCCAGTGATGAGCAGTGTTTCTGTGGGAATTCTAGCACATGTCTGGGTAAACATATCAAGGGGTGGAATTACCCAGGCAAAAATAGGCATATATTCAGCTTTTGTAGATGTTGCCAAACTGACCAAGAGTTCCAACTGCTCCATATCTTCCAGACACCTCGTAACTTTGTCTTCTACATCATAGCCATTCCAGAGGGTGCTGCACCATGTTTTGAGCCCAGCATTGACACCCTTATTGAACTGCTCACAGGCCATTGCAGACAAAACCAGAGTGGTGAGGACGTAAGCAGGGTCACGAGGGAGGCACCTAAGAGTTATAGGAAGGAAGGAAGGAAGGAAGGAAGGAAGGAAGGAAGGAAGGAGGGAAGGAAGGACAATGATTTCTTTCAAAGGAACAGCAGTATGGCTGTCTATTAGCTGAGCAAGACTCTTTCCTTGAAAGCACTCAGGAAACCCAGCCTCACAGTCAGATAGATCATTATTATTTCCATTTTACTGATGAAGACAATGAAGCCCAGAATGCTGAAGTAACTTCCCTAAGGACACACAGCTAACAGAAGACAGAAATTGGATTTGACTGAGATTTGTCTGACTCCTGGTCCCCAGCCATACCAGGATGGACACTTGGATGTTCCCTTCGACTTTAGGTGCCACCTGAATTCCCCCGCCTGCCTTTATGATCTTAGCTCTGGACCTCCCTTTTCTGCACAACACTCTCTGTGAAGGTGAATGAGTAACTGGAATGTGGTTTTCTATTTGTTCTTATTCTGACTCAAAGACCAGTTGACTGAGGCTCAGAGAGATGAAGTGACTTCCCTGGGTTCTGGAAGCTAACAGGTGGTCGAGCAGACTCCTGGCCTAATAAAGTGCCTGCCACCCCACCTCACTACCTCTGTGGTCTCCAAGACAGTGCTAAGAAAAGGAGAAGACACATTTCTATTTTGTTTTCTTGGCATGAAATCATGTTTGCTTTGTGCCATAAGGTGAAAACTGTTTCTAAATGGTGTGTCAGTGAGCATGTGCACACGCTTATGCACACAAATCCTCATGCAGACTCACAGGAAGGGCTTTAACAATGCCCCTGTCTTGAGAGTGAATAGTCTAAGTATTGAAGAATAAAAGTTTTCATTGTTCAAGGTGCTGCCTGGGATTCCTGGAATATGAGGAAATGTATTTTCAGTTTAGTCCTAGGTCCTGGATATGACCCAGAAATAAGGGCAAGCAGGGCAAGCAGAGGCACCTGGCTTGTGATGGGTCACATCTATCCATCAAACATTTACTGAGCACCTAATCTTCACCAGGCATTGAGCAGAGTGCAGGGGTATGAAGGCGAGCAAGACATAATCTTGGTCTTCACAAAGATTTGGAGAAACAAACATCAATACTCGTGCTGACCACTCTGTGTGAGGAGTGCTTTGATTGTACATGCAAGGTGGGGACTCCACAAGGACAGGGTCTAGATTTTCCCATCTCCACTGTGTCCCTCATACCTGGTACAGTTGCAGGCATGCAGTAGGCCCTTGTGGACATGCCATATGTTGAGCGTGAGGCTGGAACTGACTACACAAGAAATCACAGAAGTAGAAGTTATCTAATATTAGAAGCTGCGTACCTATGCACTTATTCATTATTCATTCTTCATCACCTTGGGTGTTAACTGAGCCATTTGCTCTTGTGATGGTCATAGTACAGGAGGAAGGGAGGATGAATAACAGCTAAATTGCAACATATTTGGAACATACTGCACCGAGGTCAAAGTTGTATGGGGCTCCAGAAGAGGAAGGGCCAAATGGAGCAAGGGAGGGTGCATGGTTTCCCAGAAAAGGTAACACTTGCAAGAATGTGAGGCCATTGCTAGGGAGCTTCCCAAATCCTGAAGACCCTGATCTTAGTAGAACTGACAACACATTACAGTGCAACCATGTGTATGAATGTGCTTTATAAACTGTGAAGCACCCTGTGAATGACCCCGGGAAGACTAAGCAGAGGAACAGTAACTTGAATGTTGGTACATTTTGGCGCTACAAGTCCACAAGAGGTGTTGGCTTTGGGTGGACACAGTATCACTCTTGACACCACCATCGTACACAGAGCTTTGGTTAACAATACTTCCAGCGGTGCACTTGAGAGTCGTGAGGCCTTTGGGACTCCATAATAATTGGGTTTTGTACTCATTCTTGTACTGATTTATTCATTCATTCATACATAGTAGTGGATCTCTTTCTTCACAGGAGCTTCACGGAGACTTCATACGTAGACCAACCAAAGTGGAATTACTTTGGTGGAAGGTAGAAGGGGGAACCTGGCCAGGACCCCACCCACTTCATTTACCTGGAGCCCCACTGCAGCCTCTGTGGTGCTTCAGGATTTCCAGGGAACACTGTTGGAAAATGTCCCCTGGAACGTAGAAAGTAAGACCCAAAGAGAGCAAGTGACTTGTCTATTAGCTGAGCAAGACTCTTTCCTTGAAAGCACTCAGGAAACCCAGCCTCACCACAGGCAAGGATAGAAACCATAGCCCTGAGAGGTCAACTGAGGCCCCTCCAGCCCTCACTTAGGATGCCAGACCTGCCCTGGACGCTTGCTCCCTGACTGCCATCCCTGCTCAGATACAATTGGCAGAAAGGGGACAGGTATAGGGAACAGGGCAATGAGCCTTTAACCCTGCTCCTGTTCTGTATTAATCACACAAACTTGGGAAGCATATTTGCCTCTCTGAGGCTTAGTTTTCTCATCTGTTAAATGGAAGCATATTGAGAGGATTCAATAAAACGTGCATCAAGCACAGATCCCATGGCTGGCACAGAGCTGGTCTTCGATAAAGTGGGTCTTTGGTAAATGCTATTTCTTTCTCCCTCATTGCACCACAATTTTTATTAGGGGTATATTCACTTGACCTTGCAGTTTTGGGCTTGTCAAAAGATAGTCATAGGCATCTCTGTGGCCACAGAGCAACATTTTCTTTCTCAAACCGCCAACTTTTAAAGAGGATCACCCTTTTAAATGGACCAAAATGACTCTGTGGTTGCTATCCTTCTCTCCGGCCTCCAGATTCTGTGAGGGGAGGGTTTGAAACCACCTGGAACAAGAATAAAAATATGGACCAAGAACAAACAGCAGAAAGGCTCCCAGCAAACCCATTGCCCTTTCAGCTGGAACTATGTTCTGGAAGGACAAGTGAGCCTGGAGAACAATACACAGTTTTTTTTTTATTGGTCAAGAACTGGTAGAGCAGGAGTGGAAGGTTTTAGAAACTCTAAAGAAACTCTGGGTTAACAGTTTGGTTTTGTCCTGCTCATGACCCATCGCTGAAAACCCACTCTGAGCCAACTCTGGTCTGAATGTGAGGAGTCAGAGCTAGATGAGAACCATGTTTTCCAAAGAAAGCAGGGATTGCCTACTAAAGATGCAGATGCTGGCACCCCAGCCCAGAGGCCCTGGTGGCAAGGTCTGAGGACATTTAGAAAAGCTGTGTGGAATTCAAAGTCATTGCTAATGGGAGGGACAGGTGAGTAGGGAGGTATGGCTACAGGCCAGGGACCCTGCCTACCATCATCATGGTCCTCAGGGAGGCGCCCTGTGGGGTGATGCCAAGCTGAGTCCTGAAGGTCAAAGAGGAACTGGCAAGTGAATTGTGAGCCTGTGACAAGTGTGGGCAGAGAGTTCTTAGAAGAGGAAGAGCAGGTGTGGAGAGAGGCAGCTCAGCATGGCCTTGTGTGGGGCCTGTGGGGGGATGGGACTGGAGGTGGAGGGGCAGCCAGATCACGGCAGGTGTGGGAAGCTCTGATGGCCCTTTACCTTTTGGCTCTTGGGAGCCTTCAGAGGGCTTTGGTAGGGACACGATAACACCCGACATCTATTTTGGGATGAACACCATGGAGACAGGGGAGAATATACTTACAGGGGCAAACCAGGGGCAGGGTAGTTGTTGAGGGACATCGGAAAGAGCCTGGGAGGGAGGAGGGGGTACTGAGTCCTCCCAGGAGCAGTGGGAATGGAACCATGGAGCTGGGTAAGAGTGGGAGATTCATTTCATTTCGGTGGAATGAGGGATGCATAGGGCAGATCCTGGGTCTCTGACCAGGTGGTTGCAGGGAACATGGGGCATTCTCTGAAGGACAGAGAAGGTGGGAGCAGGCTCATGGTGATGTGTCCTGTGTGGTCTCCCAAACCCATCTTGAGTTGGATGGAAACACTGAAATTAAATCCCATAAGGTTGGCTTTCCCAAAGTGTGACTCAGACTTTGTTTAGAAACATCAACTCCTAATACGTCAGACTTGACCCCTAGAGACCATCCTAATGAAAGAACCAAGAAGGGGGTATTCACGTGTTCAGACGTTGGGTGCCGCCAGACCAGCCCCCAGAGTCATCTCTGTCACTTCCTTCCTTGTGACAGTAGGCTTGCTATTTAACCCCCTTCCTTCTTCATTCGTAAAATTAGGAGGCTCCCCCCAGTCAGCAGGCTTGTCATGAAGATTAGACAAGATGGTGAACACAACATATTTAAGGCCATGGTGGTCTCCTCTGAGCTCAGAAAATATTTCTTCTTCTAAATAACTATTGTGGTGATTGGATTTCTAGCCCATCCCTTCTCACTAGGGAAACCCAGAGGGAAAAGGAAGTGGCTTTTTTAAAGCCAAATAACCACTCAGTGA